TTTAACCATGTATTTAGTGTGTGTGTGTGTGTGTGTGTGTGTGTGTGTGTGTGTGTGTGTGTGTGTACCTACCACTGCAACAGGCACATAGAAGTCAGAGAACAAGATGTGGGAATTGATTCTTTCCACCATGTGCGTCTCAGGAATTGAGCTGAGACCATCAGGTAGCAAGTGCCTCAACCCTCTGAACTGCCTCCCTGACCATTTTTCATTTTACACGGAGTCGTGGTTTTTGTTTGTTTGTTTGTTTGTTTGTTATTGTTTTTCGTGACAGGGTTTCTCTGTGCAGTTTTGGTGCCTGTCCTGGAACTCACTCTGTAGACCAGGCTGGCCTCAAACTCACAGAGATCCGCCTGGCTCTGCCTCCCAAATGCCGGGATTAAAGGCGTGCGCCACCACCGCCTGATGTGTTTTTGTTTTTATTTTGTCCTTTTGAGATGGGGTCGGGGAGGGTCCTTACTGTGCAGTCCTGGCTATCCTAGACCTTGTTCTATAGACCAGGTGGCCTCGAATTTAGAGATCCTCTTGCCTCTGGTTTCCAAAAGCTGGGATTAAGTGTTTGTACCAGCACCCCTGGCCTCTGATGTGCTGAGTCATAAATGATCTCTTGTCTCCCTGCTCCCCAGACAACAGTGTGCTTCATCTGACTTTCTACTATCTCATGAACCTCAACATCATGACCGTGAAGGCCAAAGTGACGACCACCGTGGAGCTCATCACCCCCATCAGTGCAGGGTAGGGAAGGATAGTGTGTGTGGGGGGGTTGCGGGGAGAGCCCCTGTTCTCCAGCCCTCCCTCTGACTGCCAGAGGCTCCTGTGCCGTGCTGACTTGGGAGTCCTGGCACATCACCGAGATGTAGAAGTACTCTCTGATTCACGTTTGTGAGGCCCTCTTACTGCACAGCAGATGAAACAAGTGATAACAGCCTATCTGCTGTGTGGGGCAGAGCCGCAGGCTTTTGTAGCCAGTCAGATGCATGTAAATGTGTGAGTGAGACATGGGAGACAGGCCCAAATTGACCAATTGGGTCCTTCTTTTCCCATCTCTGTCCCAAGGTGCCGGGATTTTTGTTTCCCAGTTCAGTTCGGTCCCCAGGTTTAGCCTTAACTTGGTGGTAAGTGGAGGAGTATAAACAAGCAGCGGCAGCATCCCCAGGAAGGCCCTGACCACGGCAGTCTTGTTCTCCAGTCCAGAGCAGGAAGAGCAGAGGACAGAAAGGACCTGGGAGTAAACTAGCCTGCGCTTAGAGGATCACTGCCCTGCCTGGCCTGGCCCTGCCTAGCCTGGAGAAAGAACACTGAGGCTCATTAAGGCACAGGCTTCGTGCCCAGTGGAGCAGAGCCCTGCCTATCCCTCCCAGTTCTGCCAGATGGGAGGAGTCTCCTGACTCTAGCGCCACGCCCCCCACCCCACCACCCCTCACGCTCTTAGGTCTACACACTCTCTCCAGGCTTTTGCAACCTTTGCTGGGTAGTGCTGGGCTACCTGGGGACATGCTGGCTGCAGTTGACTCTGTTCCCAGCAGAGGGAGTCCAGAGCTTGGTTCTAAGTTCCACACATCAGCTGGGTCTTTCATTCACTGTACAGTTCTAGGACACTCCTTTTGAGAGGGGTGTGACTGTGTTGTCCTGGCAGGTCTGGACATGTATGTAGACCAGGCTGGCATCGGACTCATAGAGATCCTGCTGATTCTTGAATTCAAAGTAGTGGGATCCTGGGCTGTGTAGTGAGTTCCAGGCTAGGATACATAGTAAGATCTATGTTCAAAAGAATGAGATTAGGGAGGTAGAAATGCTAAGCACTCTGATCATTACTCATTGAATTAATCTGTCAAATTACTACACCATGCCCTACAAGTGTATATTGTTTTTCCATATGTATAATATAGAGAAATTACTCACAAGTTGGTGCCTCTCTAGTATACTGAAGGACTTGGGCTCAGTGTCCAGCCCAAAACATAAACTTAATTGTGCATGTAAACTTATTGCTGTAATTATTTCTTGCACTATTTCTATTTCTAATTTCATGTAGCTTTCTTCCTCCAAAGTGGTGCCCTGGCCACCGGATAACGTGTGTCCGTGTGTATGTCTGTTTGTATATGTTCAAGGACACATACGTGTGGAGAGCAGAGGGTTGACATCAGCTGTCCTCCTCAGTCACTTTCCACCTTACTTTTTAAAACAAGGCCTCACTGAACTTGATATGTGAATGGAACTCAGGCTACCATGCTTATGTAGGGAGGCTCTTTACCAACCGAGTCACCTTCTCAGCCCCACTATAATATTCTGGAAGAGATCATTTAAAAACAGCAAAACAAAATACTAAAGACTCCTGTTCTCAGGGGCCCGGAAGATGGTTTATTGGTAAAAGCACTTGGTACGCAAGCCTGAAGACCTGAGTTCAATTCCTAGAACTCCTGTAAAAAGCCAGTTATGACTGTTATCCCAGCTGGATGGGAGTTTGGGACAGGACAATCAGCTGGACGCTCTCAGCCCAGCTTGCTTGGTGTACTCTGTACCATGGCAGAAGCAGGAAAGACCCCGTCTCTATAAGACAGAAGACAAGAACTGACTTGTATGTGGATTTTTCTTTGGGCTGCCAGCTCACAAAAAATGACACAGAGACTTATTATTAATTATAGAAGCTCAGCCTATAGCTTAGGCTTGTCTCACTAGCTCATAAATTAACCCATTTCTATTCATCTACGTGCTACCACGTGGCTCGTGGCCATTACCTCTCCTCCTGCCTGTCTGTTCCCTCTGTGTCTGGCTGGTGACTCCGCCTTTCTTCTTCCCAGAGCTCTCTCTGTCCAGAAGTCCCTGCTATACCTCCTGCCTAGCTATTGGCCATTTAGCTTTTTATTAAACCAATTACAATGACATATTTTTACACAGTGTAATCAAACATCTTATAACTTAAGTTAACCCATATCTTTTAATCTACGCTCTTTTTCACAGCTCAGTTACCTTTACTTTGTACTGCCCATCCTGCTTCCTGTGCGCCTTACTGGTAACTCTGCCTTCTTCCCCTAGACCTCTCTGTCCCCAGAATTCCTCCTAACCTCTTCCTGCCTAGCCATTCTGCTTTTTATTAAGCCAATCACAGTGACATATTTTTTTTTGTTTTGTTTTGTTTTTTTGTTTTTGTTTTTTTAAGACAGGGTGTCTCTGTTTCGGTGCCTGTCCTGGATCTCGCTCTGTAGACCAGGCTAGACTGGAACTCACAGAAATCTGCCTGCCTCTGCCTCCCGAGTGCTGGGATTAAAGGCATGGGCCACCACCGCCCGGCCACAGTGACATATCTTTACACAGTGTAATCAAATATCTCAGAACACTGACTACTGAAAATTGTCTTCTGTGTGCCACAGTATACATGAACACAAAATAAAAATGCTGTTCTTTCTGATCAGATAGTGTGAACTCTGGCCTCTATACTTACTGGCATCATGAGCTTCAATGTCCTACCTTTTAAAGCCTTGAATTTATACCTTGAGAAATGGGATGATAATCCTCTGTGCTTCACAATGTTGTGAGAGTCCACTGGCTTGAAGCACATAAAGGATTTGATGCACAGGAAGCTGTCAGTGAAAGATCGTAGTAGAACCAGCTGTGATGGCACACACCTTTAATCCCAGCACGGGAAGCAGAAGCAGGCGGATCTCTCAGTTCCAGGACAGCGTGGTCTCCAGAGTGAGTTTCAGGACAGCCAGGGCTACACAGAGAAAGCTTGTTTCCAAAAACCAAACAAAAAAAGGTGGTGGTTGCCATCGTAAGAGCCGGGTGGTACATCGACACTCCCAAATGCCCAGGTCCACTTTGAGGCACCATGTTGGCTGACATTCTCACTGCGGTCTTTTCTTCTGTAGAGACTTGCTGTCTCCCGACTCGGTCCTGAGCTGTTTGTATCCTGGAGATCATGGAAAGAAAACTCCAAACCCAGCCAATCAGTATCAGTTTGATAAAGTTGGGTGAGTAAGCAGGGCTTCAACCTTCCCTGATTCTGTGTCTGTTTCTGGTAGTTCAGGCCAAGCTGGAGACCTTTTAGGGCCAGAGCACCTTGGGGCTGGAGGGGACATCTTCCTGTTCTTGCATAGAAGGCAAAGGGATGCCATGGAAAGATGAAAACTTGGGGAATATAGGGACACAAGAGTTAGGGATGTGGTTCAGTAGTGGTGTGGTAGGTTAGATCCCCAGTATCATAAAAACAGACAGACAAACAAAAAACCAGTGTCAGCAATAAAATGAATGGCATTTTCATTCTCTTAAATAGTCAAGATTTTAAAAGCTATTTTCTGAGTGAGTAGAGCAGTGAAGAGGCCAGTGACTGCACTTTTGAGATTTGCTTTATGAGGCAAAGGTTCTAAGGCAAAAAGAAGTGAATATTGGAGATGAAGTGCCAGGTAGAGATTTTATGCAGTTAAGGAGCTTCAGCTTGTGGGACTGAGATTGGCCTGTTTTGGGGGCACTGGGGAAGAAGGCCTCGGTGTATACAGGAGGACTGTGCCCTGGGCCAGGCAGTACTAGGGATTGAGCCTAGGGCCTGTGTAAGGACTCTACTCCTGAGCTGTGTTCCCAACTCAAAATTATTGTATTCTGTCTTCTTTTCTGCAGCATCCTGACTTTGAGAGACTATGTACTTGAGTTAGGTCACCCCTACTTGTGGGTACAGAAGCTGGGTGGCCTCCACTTCCCCAAAGAGCAGCCCCAGGTGTGTACTCTGACCCTGCCTCCTTGGCTGAGGGGCTGGACAGATTCCAGAAAGGCCTCTGATAGCCTTGTAGGGTTTTGATTCAGCAGAACATCTTCCTTTGAGGCTGTAATCTGACCTCCAGCCACTCCGGGCACTAAAATACCCTACCTGGTCTTCAAGCATTGAAACAACTTGGCTTTCCCTATGAGCTTGGGCGCCTTATAAACCAAAGATAACTTGGTCTTGCCCCAGATGTAGCCCAGCTACAGCTTTTGCTGCCCTTGGACTTGTGTCCAAGGCTGCTACAAATGAGAATGGGCAAAATCCCAGGGGCCAGACACCACAGAAGCCTGCCTTTTCTCAGGAGCTGGTCACAGCCTCAAGGGAACCCAGGATCTTGTGTTCTTGCCAGGGCTTAGTATGTGACCTGTTATAGTGGGTAAACACTGCCGTTCCCAAACAGCGCCCACCTTGGGACATGGCTGTGCAGGAAGGAAATGGGAACTCTCACGTGTATCCTTCATTGTCATTCACTATTAGCACACAGTAGTGGCTGACCACTCCCAGAGCGCCAGCCACATGGAGACCACCATGAAGCTGCTGAAAACCAGGGTCCAGTCCCGCCTGGCTCTCCACAAACAGTTCGCATCTTTGGGTAAGCTGGGGCAGCAGCTAGGGCCCGAGAGCCGCTGGTCAACATAGGAATAAAACCACCTCTTTTCCCTCACACTTGTAAATCCTGATTACAGGTCAAAGACCCGTGGTCCTGGCCTTACTAAGCAGTGGATGGTAGGTTCCATGGGGAGAGCCGCAGGTCCATTCAGGCAGAGGTCTGAGCTCCCTGCAGAGTCCTTAGTTCTGTGCCAGCCCTCCCAGAGGACACCATAGCCATTGGGACAAGTTCACAGTTCATCAAGGCAGCTTGTCCTGGTCCATGCGACACAGACTCATATGTGCACTTGGCAGGTGTTTGGTGAGAGTCTAATTCATGCTGGTACCCCATATAGCCCGAGGGGAGGAACACTGATTGTAGCTCTACAGGGGTCACCCTATTATCCTCTCCCTAAGACCTACTGCGCTAGTGCTTCCGAGGGTACAGCTGAGCTGCTCGGATTTTCTCCTAAGCTCCCAGTGGTTATGATGAGCCACTGACCTGGGTGGTAGCCATATGGCTTCTTTCAGTTCAGTCAGTAAACACTCGATGGGTATTTACAAGACACTTGTAGGGTGGGGGCAAGGTTTTGGGGTATTGGAGTCACCGTCAAGCTAGGCATTGGGTTTCCAGGACCCAGCTGGAGACAAGACCCCTCTTCCCTCCCTCCAGGCCGGCTCTCTGGTTCCATGTGGACACTGATCTCCAGGGCAACACCACCTGTCCCTCAGGCCTTGCTCCCCACTCAGCGTTGCCAACATTACCAAGGTTGTGTGGTTGTCACCCGGACAGTGTTCCCTGTGTCGGTGGTGTATTGTTTCTTGGAACACCAGCAGGGAGCCGACACAGAACACTGCGGTCGGTTTTCTGTCAAGGTCAGCTGAGCAAACACAGCCCTCTCAGCGGTTTGATCTAATTAACAGTCCCTGCCGCAGGGGTACTGACGCTACTTATGGCTGCAGGGATTTGTTTTGCAAGACATTGTCTGCATTAAGGATAAAGCGCCCGTGAATGCAGGTGCTGGGTCTGCCCACAGGCGTGTAGCCCTGCGTGAAGTGGATGTCAGGTGGAAATGCCTCTATTCCTATTACTTCTTGAGTAACCAGGTGTACTGGACAAGTGTCAAGGCCACCGTAGCCCTCGAGCAAGCCACAGCTGTGGTACCTGATTTCTGCCTGTAATGCCTCCTGCCTTGCTCTCTTTTAGAACATGGCATCGTGCCGGTTACCAGTGATTGCCAGTCCCTCTTCCCTGCCAAGGTGGTTTCTCGCCTGGTGAAGTGGGTGATAATTGCACACGAAGATTACATGGTATGTAGAACTGCGGCCTCTATGACCATGACACCCCTCAGCTCCTGTCCCCACCCTCCGCCATCAGGGCAGAGGCTTTGGAGGAGCCGCAGCTCACTCTGTGTTAGTTATTTAGCTGCGTTGTGTTCTTACCCTGCAAGGAAATGTCACGAAACACAACAGAATCCGCTTATAAGAGTTTATTAGAGATAAAGGGACAGAGTGCGCAGGCCTGTGGGAGAGACACGTGCGTGGAGAAGAAGAAGAACTGGGAAGCATGGCGCTCCACTTTAAAACCAGCTGGGGGTGTGGCCAGGTCATGTCACTACTCCACGCGTGTGCGTAGATCACATGGTCACGTTGTGCGCTTACGTGGCCATGTAATGTCACGGACCCTGGTCATGCGAGACCCCTTGGCCCGGAACTTGCTAGGTGGAGATGTCCGGGTCCGCCGGGTATCCTGGCTACGAGAGACACTTTGACCCGGGAATGGCTATCCTGGCTGGAATTGGCTAGGTGGAAGTGTCCGCCTGGTAAATGGGACCGTGGGGGGTGTGTTGTAAACCCTTCACTCTGGTCTTGTTCTAGGAGCTGCATTTCACTAAGGACATAGTAGAGGCAGGACTGGCCGGGGACACCAATCTCTACTACCTGGCGCTTATTGAAAGGGGAACAGGTAGGTGATTGCTCTGCTGACCACAGGGCTCTATTCAAGGGGAGCCCTGAAACAGCACACGTGCCTGGGGTCCTAGAATCCTCCCTAGAGATTCACAGACACTGATGACCAGGGACCTGCCCTTCAATGAGGACTCGTTCTGCAGCACCACCACACGTGGGTCACGCCGTTGAATTCTCACCCTGGGGTGGTGGCCGAATCTCAAGCTTGGCGTCACCTCGGCTTGGTTTTGTTTCCTGTTTTAGTTCCCTGTAGCAGCAGACCTTGTTTCTGCCCCCCCCCCCCCCCCCCCCGAAGGACAGGGCTGTCACTCTGATTGTAAAGACTGGATGACGACCTCCCTCCCTCTCCTGACATCTGACTTGCCAGGGCCTTCTACTGGGGCGGGCGGGGGCACTCAGATGCCGTGCTTGGGCGGGTAGGCTGCTGTCCTACCCAGCCTCAGCAGCCTGGCACTGCCCACTCCTCCCAACCCCCAGCCTCACAGCTGGGACCACTGAGCTGAGGAAGCTGCCTGTGGTCCTGTATTAGTCAGTATTTTGAGTGATGTAAAATTCCTGGGCTGGGGATATAGTTCAGGGTTAGAACACTTGCCTAGCATACCCGAGGCCTTAGATTTCTTACCAGTACCACAAGAGAGAAAAAGGGTAAGTAAAACAGAAGTAAATTCCAGAAGTTGGAAACTGTAAAGGAGAGCTTATTTACTCACACTCTTGTGAGTTTGTTACAATTTTTATTACATTTACTTAGTGTATGTGTGTGTGCACTAAGGTCTAAGCAACACACACCCAGAGTTATCAGAGGATAACTTGAAGGAGTCAGTTCTTTCCTTCAATCTATGGGTTCCGGGGATCAAACTGGGGTCATGAGGCTTAGGAGCAGCCACCCCTACCTACTGATCTGTCTCACTGGCCTGTTTGTGTGTTTTGTCTTCTTGAGGAAAAACCTCACTCCATAGCTCTAGCTGGTCTGGAACTCACAGAGATCCGTCTACCTCTGGAGTGCTGGGATTAAAAGTTTGTACCACCACGCTGTTTTATTTTTGTTCTTGAGATCAGCTCAGGCTGGCTTGAACTCCTGATCTTCTTTCTTAGCCTGTAGAGTACTGGGACTGAGTACTCTAAGTACTTTCTTTTTTTTTTTTTTTTTTTTTTTTTTTTCGAGACAGGGTTTCTCTGTGTAGCTTTGCGCCTTTCCTGGAACTCACTTGGTAGCCCAGGCTGGCCTCGAACTCACAGAGATCCACCTGGCTCTGCCTCCCGAGTGCTGGGATTAAAGGCGTGAGCCACCACCGCCCGGCACTTTCTTAGAGTACTGTAGAGTACTGGGACTGCACAAAAGGGCCGCCTTGCCTAGGGTAGCTCACATATTTGAAGGCTGGAAATCCAGATGACCTGATGACTCTGGTAAAGAGCTTCATGGCAGGTGAGAATACGAAGGTGTAGAAGAAATCACATGGTGAGAGGAAGCCAGAGAGATTTAGAAGCCATGATTGTTCTGTAACAACTTCTTAGCACTAACCAGAGTCTCAGGAGAAGTACCTTAATCCTTTCAGAAGGCAATTCCTCCTCATCTAAAACGACCTCTTACTAGACCCCACTTCTTACAGGTTTGACTTTGCAGCAGCACGTGGGAACCACTTCTAGTATAAATACCTTTGGGTAATACGTATAAGCCAAATCAGAAGTACCAATCAAAAGACATATGCGAGCCAGGAAAAGGGTTCAGTGGGTTGAAGCCTAATGACTTGAACTTCTAGATTCCTAGAACCTACATAAAAAAGCTGAGTGGAGTGGGGTGCATCTGTAATCCCAGAGATAGGAGAATCTTCTGGAAGCTCTGTGGAAAAGAGAGCCCCTGCCTCAAAACGAAGTAGAACCAGAGAGGTGGCTCCTGAGAAACAGTCCTCTGCCCACATGCATACTGGCGTGCTCCTGCACTCAAGCACATACACACATACCTAAGTTAATCTTAACAACAAGAGTCAAAGGTATCATCAGGGGGAAATTAATACATGGAGATATTTTGCTGAGTGACTATGAATTCAGATTTGATACCAGGCAGTTCTGGTTCTGCTTAGTCTTGTGCTTTTGTAGCTGTTCAATCAGAGAAGTTTCTGTCAGAGCCTCACTTTCCTCACATATAAATTGGATTTGAGAAGCTGGAAACATTTTCTTCTAGTCCTGGTTGGGAATCAGAAACAGGAGGATCCAGAGTTCAAAGTCATTCTTTGTTATATATTGAATTTGAGGCTAGTCTGGGCTATGTGAGACTCTCAACAGCAACAAATTCTTTGAAGAAAAAAAAAAGAAAAGGAAAGGAAAAAAAAAGAAAGGGGCTGGAGAGATGGATCAGTGGTTAAGAGCATTGCCTGCTCATCCCGAGGACCTGAGTTCAGTCTCCAGCACCTACATGGCAGCTCACAACCATCTATAACTCCAGTCCCAGGATGCATTGCCTTCTTCAGGCTTCCAAAGGCACTGTATGCATGTTGGTACAAAGATACATGGAGGCAAACAAACAACCACACACATAGAGTTTTAAAAACTATAATGACGTCTCTTGAGGTAGCAGATTTAAGCCATTGACAAATAGTGATGAGTAGAGCAGATCTTTGGAGAACAGAATTACTCTGCCTTACACTCAGCAACCTGGCAGCTCTACTTAGGTTCTAAAACAGTCAGTACCAGTATACTTGGCAGCACTTAAGGTAACAGGAGACATTGTGTTGTTGGCTTTGGGTACAGTGGAGACCACCACGGGAAGCTGGGTGATCACTGATTTTCTCCCTTTCCCCTGTTGCCAGCGAAACTCCAGGCTGCTGTCGTATTGAACCCTGGCTACTCCTCCATCCCACCCATTTTCCGACTCTGTCTAAACTGGAAAGGGGAGAAAACCAACAGCAATGATGACAATATCCGGGTAAGACCCACATGTGTGTCAGGAGGAACAGAGAGAGCCCCTAGAGAGATGAATGGTGGCCAGGCCTGCAGCAGCAGAGGCCATGGACACTGCTTAAGTCCCAGGACAAGGAATTACAGGATTTATAGAATTTCCCACTCATCAAATAGCATTGTTAACTGGGTGCAGCGTCCTCACACCACTCCAGGGACTTGGACCTAACTGAGGGTGGGGAGGGAATGAAGAGACAGACAGACAGACAGACAAAAAGCTGGAATCTGGTGGTCTGGACTCTCAGCAAGCCCAGCATGTTTGTTACATAGAATTGAACATGGAGGCGGAGACCCAGGGCACAGATGCCCCAAGGGGGCAGGTTTAGCTAATCCCAGGAGGAGCAGGCTCTGTAGGGAGCAATCTCCAGGCCAGGAATACCCAAGGGATAGAAAGTTATGGTTGACATTTTCTGAATACTTGGATCAGAAGAGAAGGCTTTGACATTCCTCTTAACCTCATGTGAGGGAGGGGGAAGGCTTTTCCAGACCTGCATGGATGTGAGGTTAGGGTCCTTGCCATGGCCAGCTCACGTCGACAACATACATTCACTCAGGACAGTAGACACACTCATTCTGGATTTCATGCCCTCGGTTTCCTCTGTTCCCTATAGCAAGGCATGGTGGTGCACACCTTTAATCCCAGCACTAGGGAGGCAGAAGCAGACAAATCTCTGTGAGTTCAAGGCCAGCCTGGTCTACATAGTAAGTTCCAGGCCAGCCAAGGTTGCATAGTGAGACCCTGCCTCCAAAAAAACCAAAAAGTTTTCTTAGAATCTTGTCACCTTGGGCTTCTGTGAGATGGTAAATAGACTCAGAAGCACTGCAGAAACGCTCACATTCGATGACGGGGAGGTGCTGAGGCTGCGCTCAAGGCCGTGCCTCTTGATGGATTTGGTAGCCTTATGGCCATAGAGCATGTTTGTAAGCCTGATGCCTTCTGACTTGGGACTAAAGGTTCTTCTCTACAGACCTGTGTCCCTTGCTGTAGGCATTATGGGGAAATCATGATAATCAGGGGTCTCTGGACAAAGCTGTGGCACGGCTGTGTGTACAGCTCCTGTGCGTGTGCTCGCGCCTGCCCCTGCACACACGTGTGCTCAGGTGGCAAGTGTAGCTCTTGTGGTGCCCTCAGGCTCAGCTGTGAGGTTAATGCCTGGCCAGTGTGCCCAGCCGCACTGGGCAGGAATGCTGAGGTGCGGCTTCCCATCCCCACAGGCGATGGAGAGTGAGGTCAACGTGTGCTATAAGGAGCTGTGTGGTCCTCGGCCCAGCCACCAGCTCTTGACCAACCAGCTGCAGAGGCTGTGTGTGCTGCTGGATGTCTACCTGGAGACCGAGAGCCATGACGACAGTGTGGAGGGCCCCAAGGAGTTTCCCCAGGAGAAGATGTGCCTGCGGCTTTTTAGGTGAGTACAGGGCTGGGCTCTCGAGACTCCTCATGAGGACATGGACAGGGATCAGAGCCCTCCCGAAGACTAGGTCTCATTGGACAGGACCTGCACAGAGGGCGTCTGTCTCCCTCCATTCATAGCAGAAATCCACCGCCTCATTTCCAGGAAAAAGTTGTTTTCTCCTTGCTGAGACTTCCCTGCAGCTGGCTCCCCTGTTCTTGGTCACGCCCTGGAGAAGGCCACCCAACCAAGGAAATTGCTATGCTAGAAAGCTCTGGCTGAACTTGGAGTGTTTTCTGTGGGAAACAGCAGGGCCTGTTTGCTTTGGACATCCCAGAGAGCCCCTAAGGTGGTGCACCTCAGTCCCTAGAGAGTTTGCTGGCATCTTTGAGTGTCTTCCTCAGTGAGACTCAAGACAGTGGGCTACCAGGCAGCAGAGAAAACAGAACAGAGCAGCTCTTCCAGAAGGCAGGAGGGTGAGCACACAACAGAGCAGGCCGTTCTAGCACTGAGCCCTGGGCCTAGGGCTCAAGAGGGGGAGTTAGACCTTCTGTGGAGCTCAGGGTGACTCAGATGATTCCTGCTCCAAGTTAGGGGCGCAGAGTGTGTTAGCAGGTCCTGGCAGCTTGCTGTGTAGCATGCCTGGGCTTGCAGTACCTCAGGCTAGTTTTCCATTTTCTCAGGTATTGGGGTTTTCTTTCCTGTTTGTCCCCTAATGTGTGTTTTTATTCTGTCAAAGTTCTAGAGATTACTTCCAGGTCTCCCTTCTCTTTTGGACAAGGGAATAAGGGAGGTGAGGGTGTTTGGATTATAATTTTTTATAATCTATCAGGCTTGGTGTCATGGCTCGTGCCCAAAATCTCAGCACTTGGAAGCTGGAGGCAGGAGGATTGCCATGAGTTCAGCCTTGGCTACAGAACAGATAAAACAAAAGAGTTCTCACCTTGCTCTCAGTCTTATTCTTGAGTAGTCAGTTCTGACATCTGGGAAGGTGTCCAGCCTCTTCCTTCCCGTCTGGCACCTCCGCTGTCCTGGTTATGGTGTCTGATAATAACCAGCTCCAGCCCTGAGTGGCTACGAGGAAGCAGCTGAGCACCAAATGCCAGTCTGAGGCTTGTTCCCTCCAGTGGGTCTGTGCGCAGTCTCAGCTCCCCCCTCCACCTGCTCCAGCACATTTGTAGGATGGGAGCCCCCACACAGCAGCCTGTGCCTATTTTCTCTGAAATGGTTCCCGGAAGACTCATTTCCTGAGGTATGGAGCTCGATCAATGCTCTGGGAGGTGACAACATCATAATTGATGGATGGGGCTGCAAGGTTCTTGACCCGAAGTCCAGCTGACGACGTGTGCAGGGTGCTGGTGTGAGCAGTGGTAGGCCTGAGGTTCGGCTTGGACTGAGACTTTGCCACTCGGCCTAGGTGTAACCCTCTGGTTGGAGGTTTATAATGCCTGGATGATCCCAGGCTGAGATCTCAGGTCCAGCTCCCCCCTGTGAGATAAGGGTCTCTGTACTTACCCTCTGAGCAGCACATACTGCATGTGTTAATGGAAAGATCAAACTGAGATGGAGAACATTATATGCCAGCACAACGCAGGCTGGATAAGCCCTCAGCCACCGAGGAAAAGAAGGTTGAATACCCGTCAGTCCGCAGGGAAGAATAAAAACTCCTGCTCCCTACTCAAACATTGCCCTGGTTACTTTCTGTTGTGATAACACGTGACCAAAAGCAACCTGGGGAGGAAGGGGTTTACTTCATTGTCCTTCTGAAGAGGAGGCGGGTCGGGCTGAAGCAGAGACCAGAGAGGGATGCTGCTTACCGGCCTGCTCACTCCACTCGCTTCTTCCTACGTGACTCTGAGGGGTGAAAGTTGACAAAAACCTGTCCTGCACACATCCTTACTCCCTTAGACCAAGTCCCAGGGGGCCACCTTCCGTAGCTGTGTTGGATGTCAGTCATAGACAAGCATGGAGAGGGAAGAAGCCTCTTCTTTAGATGTTTCCCTGTGTGCGGTTTCCTTTGAGGACCCATTTTCCTGCTAACATCTTCACGGGTAGAAGAAGATGAACATAGACATTGCTCTCCTTGGCCGTGACTCAGCCTTCCCGGAGCAAACAGGCTTTGGTGTCAGACCCCTGGGCTTTGCACCTGTTGCTTCCTGGCCATACACTGTTGTGCAAACTTTTGCCTCCTGTGTCTCCAGCTTTAATGTTCTCTTCACTTTTTCAATTATAGAAATATAGTGTTTGTTGATAAAGTTATAGACAGTGATCCAAAAATGAGAATGTTTGGGTCCTGCCCCCAAAACTTCTGCTGTATTAATGGATCTTCCAGGTTCACACATTTGCAAGCATGTAGAGACACTTTTTACAAAAATGGTGTCACACCTTAACTAGTGTGATCTGATTTTCTCACTGTGCCCTGTGCCTGGACCATGCAGTTCTGACATTTCCCCCATGACAGCTACATGGCATTCTCTTGTGAGTGAGCTGTGATTTATTTTATCAGTCCAGAAGGCACGTTATTAACTGTTGTTCCCTTTCTTGTCTCTCTAGGGGTCCAAGCAGGATGAAGCCATTTAAATATAATCACCCACAAGGATTCTTTAGCCACCGGTGATTCCCTCTACCTGTCACCCCCCAAGCCCAGCCCTGGGTCCTGTGTCTCTGCTTCTGCTCTGGCCACATGTAGTTCTTGATATTTTCCAAAGACACGAGCTGATTAAATGTCCCCTGACCAAATGCCTTTGTTTGTAGCTACTGGGGCAGTCTGGAAGGGCAGGTGGAACCTTGGAGCAGGAGGACTAGTTCTGGATGTGCTTTCTTTTCTCTCTCTCTTTCTTTTCTTTCTTTCTTTTTTTTTTTTTTTCAAGATGGGGTTTCTCTGTGCAGCCCTGGCTATCCTGGAACTCAGTCTGTAGACCAAGCTGGGCTTCGAACTTAGAGATCGGCCTGCATCTGCCTCCCAAGTGCTGGGATTAAAGGTGTGCGCCACCACCACCCTCTAGCTTGGATGAGCTTTTTAAAGGTGACCGAGAAATGTCAGTTCTAGAGAAGTGCCGCCTGTTTGTCCACACCTGCCTTGTTAGTTTTGCAGGGACAAAGTGTCTTGGTGTTTATTATCCTAGATCTCTACTTATTAGGAAGTTGCAGGAGAAACCAAAGTCAGTAGATCCAAATGTTCCTTTCTCAGCCTTCATTCTCTCTACTGGACCTGCCTTTGTCCCTTAATGGCCTAATTAATACTTGGCAGTTGGATGTTTTAAATGCCTAACTTGCAACAACCTTAAAGAGCAAACAAATAGGGGCTGGAGAGATGGATAAGTGGTTAAGAGCACTGGCTGTTCTTCCAGAGGTTCTGAGTTCAATTCCCAGCAACCACATCGTGGCTCACAACCCTCTATAATGAGATCTGGTGCCCTCTTCTGGCCTGCGGGCATACATGCAAGCAGCACACTATATACATAATAAATAAATAAATCTTAAAAATTAAAAGAGAGAGAGAGAGAAAACAAATAGACATCACAGAGAATAATTCTAAATATTTCAAGTTTTCATAGTCAGTTAGATCAGTGTTGGAGAGTCATATGCAGAACTACTAACCAGTGACAATACCCTTGAAATAGCAAGACTGAAACCAGTCTTTGTCCATACTACCCTGGACGTCACAAGCATATCAGTGCTCAGAAGCTAAGCAAGGTTAGGCATAGTTAGTTCTTTTGGATAGGAGAGTGAGACCAGGTAACACTTGAGATTCTTTATGACAGTGACTTGATGTGTGTCTTTACTTCCAGGACTTCTGAGGAGGAGATAAGCAGAGTTTCACAGTGAGACCCTGTCTGAAAAAAGTAGAGTGTTTTGACTCTCAAAAGATTAGGAAAATGTTTGCAAAACTGTCTCCTCTGGGGTCTCAGAGTAAAGCTCAGTGTAGAGCACTTGCCTCATATACTGGAGGCCTGGGGTTCAGTCCTCAGCTCATAGAAAGAAGAACAGCCTTCCTTGTCCTGAGTTTGCTTGGACACTTGTCTGAAAAACTCTGCTCTCTGCCCCAACCAGTACTAAATTCACAGTTGAGTTTAAGAGCTGGAGAGATGGCTCAGTGGTTAAGAGCACTGTCTGCTCTTCCAGAAGTCCTGAGTTCAATTCCCAGCAACCACATGGTGGCTCACAACCATCTATAGTGGATCTGATGCCCTCTTCTGATGTAAAGTCAATAGAGTACTCATATACATAAAATAAATAAGTAAATCTTAAAAGAAGAAGAAGAAGAAAAAGAAGAAGAAGAGGAAGAAGAAGAAGAAGAAGAAGAGGAATAATAATAATAATACAGGGCTGAGAATATAGTTCAGTGGTAGAGCACATGCAAAGCTCTGTGTCGTTCCTCAGCACCAAAAGGTAAAGAAAGAACCATTCTACAAAGATAGAAAAATATTTAATAATTATTGAGGGTCACACCTTTAATCCAAGTACTCAGGAGGCAAAGGCAGGTGGATCTCTGAGTTCAAGGCCAGCATGGACTACATCATGAGTTCCAGGACAGCCAGGGTTATATAGAGAGACCCTGTCTCAAAAAACAAAAACAAGGGGCTGGAGAGATGGCTCAGAGGTTAAGAGCACTGACTGCTCTTCCAAAGGTCCTGAGTTCAATTCCCAGCAACCACATGGTGGCTCACAACCATCTGTAATGAGATCTGGTGCCCTCTTCTGGCCTGCAGTCATACATGCTGTATACATAATAAATAAATAATCTTTAAAAAACAAAAAACAAAAAAGCCCCCAAATTTTAAGAATTATTCTGTGGTTGTAGGCTAAGGATATAGCTCAGTTGATAGAGTGTTTGCTAGAATTCATGAAGCCCTGAATTTGATCCTCAACAACACATAAACCAGCTGTAGTGGTATATGCCTATAATTCTAGCATGAAGTGGAGTCAGGAGGGTCACAAGTTCAAGGTCACTGTGCTGCATAGGATGTTTGACACCAGCTGGACTACCTAACACGTTATTTCAACAACAATAACTGTTGTTGGAAGTATAACCTAGTTTGCTAACTCAAAGACAAACTAATTGTACCTTTTATTATGATTCCAGTCAAGATTTTTCAAGCCTTTCTTCCCTTTAGAACAGTGCAACCCAGCACTTTGCAAACACATCTACTCTGTGTAGATTATCCTTGACAGCATGGACTTCCTGTGTAGAAACTGCTCTTTCTGCCCTTGCAGCTGAGCATCTCAAAGATAAAGATTTTGGGGAGTGCACACCTGTAATCCCAGCACTCAGGAGGTAGAGGCAGGCAGATCTCTGAGTTTGATGTCACCCTGGTCTACAGAGTGAGTTCCAGGACAGCCAGGCCTACACAGAGAAACCCTGTCTTGGGAAAAAGAAGAGGAGGAGGAAAGGAAGAAGAAAAAAAAAAGATTTTGGGGAGCTTGGGGCTGGAAAGATGGCTCAGCAGTTAAGAGTAAAAGCATGTACTGCTCTTGTAGATGCCCCCAAGTTTGGTTCCCAGCATCCATGTCAGGCTTACAACCACCTGTAACTCGAGCTTCAGGGATTCGGTGTGTGTGGTCTCCACAGGTCCTGGCACACATGTACATATGTACATGTCAGCACCACCACCTTATACTTAAAGATGAATTAAAAAAAAAAAATTAAGGCAAGCTGGGAGACTCCAAAACCTGCCAAAGTTCTTCATTCCAGCAAGAGAAGAATGGAACCTTAGGGTAGCCTTCAATGTCTGGCGCCACTCTCCACCTCTCCACCCACACTGTCTCCTTCCTCTGACTACCAGAGGAAGGCACTCCAGCCAGAGGCCCTCAAACTACACAGGACTTACCTGTCTACAAGCTGATCCAAAAAGCACTTTCCCAAGCCCTACTCCTAATCCTCTGACTCGGCTGACCTAAGATGGGCCAAGGAAGTATATTTTTAACAAGCTCCCCAGGTCCATTTCGCCCTAGCCTTTCTTTGAAGGCACTGTACTTTTGTCCCTTCTCTTCTCTCAATTTTCTTGGTGACAGAGCACAGGAGAGCCAGTTTTTCTAAGCAGGTCCTTCTCTGCTGTCTTAAGCAGTCTGAGCATCTGGGTGCTTTTTATCCTGACCTAATTGCCTGGGACTTTGTCCCTGCCGGCCTCTCCTTGGTCTGGCTACTTTCAGGCCTGCATCTCACTGCCTGTGCTGAATACGATTAAAACAGGGTCTAAAAATAGTTCCTCTAATGGCCCCTGCATTGCGGCCGCCCCTTTTGGTCTTGTCTGGAAGACAGCCAAACTGACTCAGCACAAAAGCTCACCTCCAGACCGAGGCAGGGACTGGGTTTCAAAGACCGCTGGCCAGTGCCAGGAGGGGCTCTGCTCTCGAGGTTACAGCTTGTCCCCATCCGAAGAGCAGGCAGAGCAAAGGGATCTCCTGGTCCTAGGGAGAAAGATAGTAAAACAAGCTCAAGACGATCAGCCCCTTCAGAGTGCTTAGTGGAGCCGTCCATGCCTAGAGTGTGCAGATAGGGAAGGACCTCCAGAAGCTGCTTCTGCTGGAATTGTCCACAGTCTGCAGTTTCTGAGCTGGAGCACACCCCAAGCTGCAGCCCCTGCCAGCACTTGCCCTGCACCAGGAAACCCATACATGTTCCTTGCCTTTTATTTATTGCAGTGCCGGGGATCCAACAATACAGGGGTCATGTTTACTAGGCACGTGCCACTGAGCCATCTGTCTTAGTCAGGGCTCCTGTTGTGATGAAACACCATGACCAAAAGCAAGCTGGGGAGGAGAGGGGTTATTTGGCTTACATTTCCACATCGCTGCTCATCCACCTCCTAAATATTGGGATTATAGGCATTCGCTGCCACACCTAGCTTCTCCCTAGCTTTCTTCACAGCCTGCACTTACTTGGCTGTTTCCCTACAAACCCAAATGACCCTTGTTATTTTCAGGGCGTTCTTACTGAGCACGCTGGTGAGAGAAAGCTGAGAAAAGCCCTCTCCAGAGAAGGTGCACTTGCCATGCTACAGAGGAACCCTGTCTGTGCCCAGTTCTGCCCTCCTCATGGGTTCAGCATCCTCTGACCAAAGCAGACATTAAGTTATTTTAGGTAAAGCCCTGAACTAATCACAATTTCACACTTCCAGTCTAGTTAACAGGCTGCCAGTGGGAGACCCGCTCCCACTTTTCCCCCCAGGGTACTCTTGAAGAGGGAGAAGTGAGAAATATTTAGATAGGAATATAGAGGGAGAGAGACAGATAGAAACACAGGATAAGCTGGGCAGTGGTGGCACACACCTTTAGACCCAGCACTGGGGAGGCAGAGGCAGGCAGATAGATCTCTGTGAGTTCAAGGCCAGCCTGGTCTACAAGCAAGTTCCACACCAAAGCTACACAGATAAACGCTGTCTCGAAAAACAAACAAACAAAACCCCATAGGATAGCCTCAGGCCTGGATCAAACCCACCAACCCCTTCTGTCCCTTCTAAGGGGCTTTTAAAGGATTGCCAAGGGTAGAGCAAAAGACTGCCCCTAGCACAGCCAAACACCTGATAACCATGCATGTATGTGGTCAAGCCATCTCCTAATGCAGCCCTGCTGTGTAAAGCAAGCTCAGACCTCACTAGGAAACCTGTGGGCTCCCACAGTGTGCATGTATTCCTTACCTTTTTTTTTGGGCATGGATAGGGTAGGTTGAGATAGTCAATATGTAGCTCCTACTGGCCTTGAACCTCCTGCCTTGGTTGGCTGGGACTCCAGTAACC